AAATTTGAATAAAATCCGTTCATTATTTATGGATTTATGGCTGGGTGAGTTGAACGTCAAGTTAGGTTTTGATTAGAGTCCGCAGGCCAGTCCGCAGCCGAGTCCGCTGAAGTGTCGATTCGGTAATACTCAACCCAGCGCTTCTGCTTTCGAAGTATTTCCATTTTAAGGCCATAAACAAATTTAATATTACTGAAAACACGTTTTTATGTCAGAAACATTAGCGACGCACGCTATTCCTTCCGAAAGTCTCACGATGAAAGGCTAAAGATGATGGAATTAAATAAATTTTTGCTGGTATTCAAAAGGAATGGATATTTCAGATAATTAAGTTCTTTATTCAAAGCATACACATAGTGAAAGATTTTCGAAGTCTCATACAAGTTGAATGGAAGTTTTTCAATAAATTATTGAATGAATAATTTAAAAATGAATGTCAACAATAAAAATCTGGTCACATATGTAGCACTTTTTTCGCACTTCAGACAAAATAAGAAACACAAAATGGAGTACAAAAATGCAGTCGATGAGCATAAACGTTTTTGTAAAAGAGTAAAGCTGTAACAATGGACCATTTAAAAATGCAATTACACGAGGCAGTTGAAACACAGAGAAACTTCAGAAATTTAAATCTGATATGATGCAACATATAACGGTAACATAACTTGGTTTTTGAAATATGTCAGATATTTTCATTCTAATCCATTAGCAAAGGCATCAAAAATTAGAAACAAGTATTTTATTTTGACTGAATGTCAAGGGTTACTAATTATATGCAATTCTGCACAACGTTTTTCAAACAATGCACAAATTATAGATATTTATTATTTGTTGCTTAATTTCTTTCTTGAAAAGTAATTCACTCCTTGATGTGCGACAGTTCAAGGTGTAACATTTACCAGACAACATTTAAGCAACTTTCATGTAACCTCCAGAAATTTAAACATCAATTATATATACAAACTGCGGCAAAACTTCGCGCCAGTCATTCTCCAAAAGGACATTCAGTTAGAAGTGAACACAAGCACTATATTTAGGTCCCTATATTAGGGATGTTGATAGCACCAAAACACGAACTATAGACAACGTGGTCTCGACGACATCCTTGGGACTATCTAAGAAAGACTAGTTGAGAACACTAGAGGACACAGGATGCGTTATGGATATTATTACAGTTATTTATTTTAATATTATTAATGCAAAACAGAAAAACAATGATGGTTGTATGTATCAGCAAGAAAGACGATAGGGTCGGACGCTCTTCAAGGTTTTGGTTCTGAAACGCTTTAGACTAATTGAAGTTTAGAAATTTTTGAGGCTAAGTCTCAATTTTTTGTTTGGGATTTAATTTTTATGCAGATTTCGTGTAACGTATGACGCTGTTTAACGATTAATTTTGAAAGAGAGAAATTTTTCATACATGAACTGTTAGAAGCTGTCATTGCAACCAATAGTGAGAAAAGTCCATCGCCGTGTTAAAGTTGTCGCGGTCAAAAACTGCGTAGGTTTTAAAGCCGAGTAAGAGGCAGAAGGCGTGGCAGGTTAAGAGAGAGCGTCACGGAAATACTGACATTCGTGGTAATTCACTGCACCATAAATCTATGAGACAGATAAAAATGCAGTAAAAGAGGAACATTAAACTTATACACTAGTCGAGAATCGAGGCTTTTTGTTAGACCTAAAGCCTGCGATGGGCTAAGAATAAAAGACTCCATGTAAAACTCTACAGGCGGATATAATCTCGAGACTTACACTGCTCACTTGAAGCAGCCAAAAACTGCGAGAAAAAACAAGTATGAAATGCTGGAAGCGATTTTTACACCCCGTAAAGTGACACGTGAGATATTTCCGGCATAATTTGATTGAACTTATATCTGTTCCGGCACAATTCGCTTGAACTGTAATCTATAAAATCGTTCAATTTGAATTAAGTTTCATTCGACGGATCGCTTATTGTCCACCTCCAAATAAGTAAAACTTGTTGATGCACGAGCATTATTCCATGGTTTGACTTCCTAAACATATATATTTTCACCGGCTACACAGAGCAAAGTTTCTTTAATTAGCAATGGGCAGCACTCGTAGCCAGTTGAATGTGAGTCAAATGTAACAAAAAAGCAAGTAGATTAGAGCTTCGTTCCATTTTGGAAACGGAAAAATCACGTAACTATTATGTTAAATGGCAGTTGACTCTTTGAGAAAGCTTATACATAACCACTAAAGTATAAAATATCTAATTAGTATAACATCAATTGGTAAAAATGAACACAGGAGCAAGCTATTAAAGTAAGAACGCTTGTACCGAGCTAGGAAAGAGAACAATAGTTCTGTAAGAACAGACAATTGCGAGATTATCTCAACCAAATATCTATGTACAAGTAGTGTTACAAGAGACTTAAAACTTACCAAGAAGATACGAATGCATGACAGGAATTTGATAAAACGTCTATGTTTAAAACATCTCATTTGGTGTGTCAAAGGATAGATTTTTCTAATGATGAAAAGGAGATTTATTCAGCAAGCTAAGTTCAATTGCGAAGACTCCTGCGGAATCTTAACATTTGCACTCGGTAAAGATTCAACAATATGCAAAGCCTAAGAAATCCATCCTCAAATTCCGTTGAAATATTCAAATGTCAAATGTTTAAATTTTCAACTCAAGTTTCATCGCACCATGCAGCCGTTTCCTACCGACAGGAATTCTACATTTTTACCATAAAAAATTAAGTTTAGGTGACCGTTACAGTCATTGACCGAGATTCTATTGTGTCTCATATAACATAAAAATACGAATAAAAATGTTTTAATTACAACATTCAACGGCCACTGCGAGTCTCAACAACCTATATTAGTCGAGCGAGTATAATAATAAGTTAATTGATTGCGCAGCTTTAAGTTAAGATAACATTACCAGAACCACCACGGGCTTTTTGTCGCTTCGGGATCAGTTTTGTTGTTGTTGGCATCAGGGTCGTGGTTATCATCACTCAGACGGTCACTGACCGCGTGGTCGTAATTATTTCCATCTTCGACATTATTCTGTGAAGATATTTTATTATCCAAATTCCGGAGCAATTCCTCCAAGTCTTGCGGGGAAAGAAGCTCATCCAATGAATCGGAGGAGCGAACACCTGACATCTTCGGGACGACGTCTGAATCTCCTCCTCCGGACCCGACGAGTGTCGGGGACGTGCTTCTCCTGTGTCGGCTGAGGGCTTCGTTGTTGTGTGACGTGGCCTCTATGCAGAGCACAGCGAAGACGTTGTTGCAGCTCAGACGCTCTTGAGACAGCAGGCGGTTCTTCAGGAGGGACGAGGCAAGTCCAACCTCGCTGCTGGAGTCCGTGTTCCAGCCGTTGCAGTATGCGGTGAGAGCTCGCTCACCCTTCAGGCTCGAGCCGTGCCAAATATATTTCTGTGGCCTGCAAAACCATATTAATTCTCAGCTCATAATCTTGGTTAATAGCTAATGTCATTGGCCGTGTATGTTTTATTCTATGTAACGGAAGCTGCGAGTTAGAATATAGTACAATATAGTATGAATAATATATTGTAGTACAGTTTACTTTCTGCTTACCAAATTATTTCTTTACTGCACCATAATAGACAAGGTGGCATGAATTGTAACCTCATCGAGCATTCGTGAGGATAAATAATAAATTTCAAGAAAATTATAGGACCACAGAAAAAAATAAAATACTTTGATGATACAAGAGATCGAAATATAAGAAATAAGATGAAAGGCTTACCATGCAGGGTCCTGTAGAATATTCCTGCCATCAAAGCTGAAGATGCGCGGCTTCTGGAAGAAGAGCCCACCCGCGCCTGAGAAGATATCGCGCCAGCTGTTGAACAGAACTTCGCCCTGTGTAGAAAGAACCATTAACACATTACACAAAGTAAATTAGTCTTGCGCTTCAATCGTTAATGAAGATAAACATGTAGTGAGTCTTGTTTTTTATTGATTGATAAAGTTAAATTAATCGTAAGTCTTGAGTTTCATAGACCTATTTATAAATGAAAAAAAAAACTTATCGCGCTAGAAAATGACTGAAAAGAGTTTTGTGCTTCATTAACTGAATAACTTTGAGCAGCATTCTGTATTCAATTGATCTAATATGTTAACTTTATTGAACCTCTTGTTTATCATGGAGAACTGAGATGATCTCTTCAAACATCTGATGTTTCATTGATATCTAAAGATGACGTCGTCGACCGTCCTGTGTCGAGCACAGGCAGCTCCTGGTCGCTGTACAGAACTAAGGAGTTACGGAAGGAACACTCACCTTCGTGTTCACCACAGCCCTAACAAAATTTAGAGTCGCCCCAGCTTCTGGTAATCCAAATCAGAAGCTGCCGCGTCAGTAAATTTTCACTAGGAGGCAGCTCCTGGTCGCTGTACAGAACTAAGGGGTAAGGGGTCAAGTAAGGATCACCTTGGTGTTAACCACAGGCAGCTCCTGGTCGCTGTATTCCTTATCGAACCCGGTGGAAGTCTAGTAGCTACTTCAAACTATCGTCAGTCATGAAAAGATCCGGTCAAATGACACGATTTTAGATCTTCTATAACAAGGCATGAAAAGGAAAAGAATCGGCGACAGGCCACATCAGGCCTACACTGCAGCGCCGACATCACTGTGTTATGTTATGTTTTAACGATTTTGAAGAGAGTTTTGTGCTTCATCAATTGAATAACTTTGATCAGCATTTTGTGTTCAATTGATCTATTAAGACTTAGGTTAACTTTATTGAGCCTCTTGTTTATCATGGAGAACTGTGATGGTCTCTTCAAACATCTGATGTTCCATTGATATCTAAAGATGACGTCGTGAAATGTCCTGTGTCGACCACAGGCAGCTCCCGGTCGCTGTACAGAACTAAGGAGTCAAGTAAGTATCACCTTGGTGTTAACCACAGGCAGCTCCTGGTCGCTGTACAGAACTAAGGAGTCAAGTAAGGATCACCTTGGTGTTAACCACAGGCAGCTCCTGGTCGCTGTACAGAACTAAGGAGTCAAGTAAGGATCACCTTGGTGTTAACCACAGGCAGCTCCTGGTCGCTGTACAGAACTAAGGAGTCAAGTAAGGATCACCTTGGTGTTAACCACAGGCAGCTCCTGGTCGCTGTACAGGACTATGGAGTCCAGGTTCTGGGTGCGGTAGGTGAGGAAGGCGCGGAAGGTGCCGGTCAGTCCGGCTTGCCTGGCTTGGCTGTAGCAGGCGTAGTCCACGCCGCGGATGCCGTGCATGCCTCCGGTGTACGGAGTGTTGAGGGCCGCTAGTCGCAACTGCAAAACAAGGATTGATTTATTTTTTATTATATTTTTCGCAGGGCCGCTAGCTGCAACTGCAAAACAAGGATTGATTTATTTTTTATTATATTTTTCGCAGGGCCGCTAGTCGCAAATGCAAAACAAGGATTGATTTGATATTGCTTCCCGCAAAAGACTTGACAGATAGAAATAGAAGTTTGATTAGTATGAATTTAAAGTAATAGAATTTGCGCAGTTTGATTAGTTTGATTTGATTTGTTTTGTTTGATTAGTTTGATTAGAATGACTTTAAAGTTATAGAATTTGCGCAGTTTGCTTAATTTGATTTGTTTGATTAGTATGAATTTAAAGTTATAGAATTTGCGCAGTTTGATTAGTTTGATTTTATTTGTTTTTTTGATTAGCATGAATTTAAAGTTATAGAATTTAAAAAGCAAAATAGATCTTTGATTACTTTACATTTTAAAGTTAAATAATTAAAAAAAAAGATGTTTGATTAGTTTGAATTTCAATGTTATAGAATTTAAAAACAGAAAAAAGGCCAAGTAAATTCTTTGTATCTTTCTTCATTGAAAATAATTTGGAGACCATCTCAATCATCAATTTGAAAGCTGAAGTTCTCGGTCAAAAGACAATTTAATCAGACAAATGATATGAATAATTAGTAAGTCATAGTAAATTTACAATTTACATCATTCGAATATATAGAGGTTATAATTTATTTATTCTACTACCAAATATTTCAAGGAGTAATTTCCTTATGACAAATCTTGTGACTGCGCGTAAATGAGTTTATGATGAAACAGCTGGCTGGTAAATATTAAATATTAAACATCATTGCGTCAGGTTTTATTTCTGACGTTGAAAAAGATGGATCAATGTTATTCTGTGTAGAACGAATATCATTCTTTCTCCTGACAAGCAATAACCATTTTCAATTTTTATTAATTTTGTTTATTTTGAATACACTTTTTATAATGCCGGATTAAACATATGCGTTTTTAGAAGTAAGAAGTGAAGACATGTGAATATATTCGAGAGTACGACACTATTCACGGAAAAACTCACCATATTTGGGTATCCCAACTGAGCAGCAAGAAACAACAACAACAATAAGGTTAGAATTACTCATCATCATTAGACCATTAACGTATTTTTTAAATATAAACTTTAAATGAAACTATATTACCAAAGTTCTGAGGAACACAACAACAGGACAAGACCGAATAACTGTGTTTTTCGCTATAGAAACTACATTACAAATCATATAACTAAAAATTTGCCACTAAACAAAAACGTTTTTACTTGCAATTTCTCATACTTCCTAATAATTCATATTTTGATGTGAGATGAGACGCGAGACAAGACATGAGACAAGACATGAGACAAGGCATGAGATGAGGAGACAAGCATGAGTCGAGACGTGAGATTGGACATGAGACGAGATGAGACACGAGACGAGGCATGAGACGAGACATGAGACGAGACAAGACATGCAACGAGACACGAGATGAGACGAGACAAGACACGAGACGAGACACGACACGAGATGAGACAAGGCCCGAGACGAGATGAGACAAGGCCCGAGAGGAGATGAGATGAGGCACAAGACGAGATGAGATGAGGCACGAGACGAGATGAGATGAGGCACGAGACGAGACGTGACGGCGTGACATGATAATGATGATCAGTATTTAATAATATTATTGTTATCAATATTCACTAATATTTATTATAATTAGTTATGAATTAATAATAATAAAACTTAATAATATTATTATTACTAGTAAATTTTATTTGCGTATTCTATTTAATTTCATATTTTTAAGCTCAATTATGGTGCCAAGACCATGAAAGTGAAATTTATTCCATCCAATTCTGCCTTTAAGTTAAGTTAGGTATAGCATTCATATCTAGCAGTTGCACCCATTTTCCCCACCCACCTGCAGTCAAAGTCTCAAGCAAAATGTTTTATTCTAGTTAGAATAGATAGTCTACAACATGAGCTTTCCAATGGTACTAAAAACTTTGAAATTGGCTCATAGGAAACCTACAAATGATAGTTTTTCCAAAAAAGTGACAGAAGTTGGTCCATTTTTGGGGTGAAATTGAAAAAAGGAAAAAATTCATATCTTTTCATTTTTCGACCTACTTCACTCATACTTATATGATATTTTTCTAAATTTTTTTCTCTTTTCACTTTTCAGTGGTGTAATAACTGTAATTTTCATATCAAAGGAAAAAAATTTTTTTTGTGCACATACCTACTTTAACTGAGTCAACTCCTTATGAAAAGGACCACAGGCACAAAACTCTAAGGATAATCAAAATAAAGGCAATAATTTGAAAACAAATGTAAATATTGAAACAGGAAACAAAACTGAAAAAATAATAATAGTAATAAAGTAAATAAAGAAACAAAAATAATAATGAAATAAAGCAAAGCAGACTGGCAAACCTCTGAGGGAGAAAGCCAGTCGTGTTTTATAGAGAAATAACTTGAAAATGATTATTTTAAGCAAGTGCAAAAGGCCAAAAGCTAATACTTCAAAATTAAATTCACCGGTTTTTAGAGAGCTCAAATGACAGACGTGCTATCGCCGTGAACCAGTGAACGCAACTGACTTTCTCCGATGATACTAGGTAATGAAACTGCCCAAATGCCGGACCAAGTGTAAGTAGTGACTATAACCCGGACACGTACAAGTCCAGCAGAGCAGGTTCTCAAAAAATAAAAGGCTGCAAATCGTCTAAAAGAATTCCATGGGATTTTTTTTAAGTAAATTTTTGCTGTGCGTGCGTCGTCACGCGATGATCAGTCGGCAACATTTGCCCGTGCCCGTTCGACTTGGTGCTTCAAGAATGTGAGTAATGTGACCGTTGTGACGAATTCTTGGCAAGACATTCGTCACAGTTTACATCCGGATAATGTTATCAGTTCCTGCAGAAACTCTCACTCCCCAACGGTTTTGGTTAAGAGAGAGTCAGCGGTTGACTCTCAAGTTCTCAACCCCCCCAATTAACTCGCAACCCCCCAAGGTCGCAACCCCCCATTGGCCCTTGGGCCATTGTGGCTTGTGCTCACTGCTCAGGGGCCGGATTATCAAAACTTCGTAACTTTTTGTACTTACGACAAAAAAGTTCTGTGGTACGTAAATACACCCTAATTTTGGCATTATCAAAACTTTCGTACGCAAGTCTTAGCTAAAAGCCTAAATTTTTTTCCCGCGCAAATGTTTTTATAATACCACCGTTTTGGCATTATCAAAACTTTCGTACGCAAGTCTTAGCTAAAAGCCTAAATTTTTTTCCCGCGCAAATGTTTTTATAATACCACCGCTAGTATTACGTTGTCATAGCAACGCCACTCGTAAGTCGATTTTGCGTACTTACGAACTACGAAGTTTTGATAATACGGCCCCAGCTCCGTAATTACTTTAATTTCCGTGAGACTAGCTTGAAATTTTCTTTTATGATTAACGTAATACTTGAAATGCCTACGGCTCCAGATACATCAACTTGATTTTGAATTATCTTCTCTATATACCTACCAATAAATTAGCTACCATCAAACGGCCCACGGGGTTATAAGGGACGGGCGGGGTAAATCGGGACATGCGTTTCACATTTTGTAGAAGTGTTGTAGGAGCTAAACTACCTAATTAGAATATTGCAAAGCTGAGAAAGGTGGCCTAAAGTTAAACATTTTTACTACTATCTATAGCTATAGGGCTAGCAAAGAAATCATGAATTTACTAGGACCTCTAAAAAATCCCTGAAAAAAAGTGTGAAAAGTGAGATTTTGGAAAAGTACCTCTGCTAAGGTCTGTAGCAAAAAAAAAAAAAAGTATCTGCCTTATTAAAAAAATTTACTTGCATAAAAGTTGCGCATACCTAGGTTTAACTAAGGTGTTAGCTTGAAAATGTGATTGACGGAATTTGCATAGCCTAGCCTATCATACTCATACTCATAGCATAGTGGCAAACCAGTGATTTTTTAGAATCAGTTCATTTTTAATTTCCTCATTTACAGTTTACTCAAGATTTTAACAAATTTCTTATGTATGATTTCACGTTCACAGCAATCATGCTGTGAACGTAAAATTATGTAATTTAACAATGCCTGGAAGTCAGATTCAATCCACGGCCGGGCCTGGTGGTTCTATGCGAGGCTGGAGGAAGACAAGGCTGAGTAGTTCACGGCTGATTAGTGGATGTCCAGAGAGATCCTAGGCTTTCAATTCAGGGCTTATTGGTGCACAAAATTGGGGCTGCATGGCTGCACTCCCTCCCTTATTACCCCATCATGCGGAAATGGCCGCCATTTTTTCAAGGAGATTTTTTATATAGGCTTAGTTATTTGTTTTTTAGACTCTTCTTCAAGTTCATTTTTAAGTCCTATAAGTAGACAAGTAAAGTATCCTGGATACCACATACCACGATGATACCAGCATTATCATACATAAGAAATTGGTCTAAATCTTAGGTAAATGAGGAAATTAAAAATGAACTGATTCTAAAAAATCTATATTTTGTCACTATGACTACATCTGAGGTTAGGTTTTAGATAGCATAATTCTGTTCCAAAATTTATCATCCTTTGACAAGTGGCTGTTTGACCTAGGGCTGGTTCAACCCATGGCCTAGATATGGATGACTTGAAGTGTTGAAGGCTACATTCCAGAAGGCAGGAATCATGATGGTCCATTACATCCAGGTCCAGGGCAGTGGTGGTCTTAGGCAGGTGACCCATAAGGAACACCCCTAAAACTGCATTTAAGGTAAAACCTCAGCTTGTAAATGCTCCAGTTATAAAAAAATCAATTATATATATAATATTTTGATTACATTTGCCTCGCTCAGAGCCAGCAGTCATCACACCTGCAGCTGCTGAGCTGCAAAGCTGCATCATTGGTCATTACAAAATTGTGCATAGAATGTCTACTTCAATGTCATAGATAGAATTGTGCACCGAGCAACATAGAATGAAATATAATTAACCTAAACTCTGATTTATTTCTTCAAAAAATATTATGGTTGTAATTTATTCCTTTTCGTTTCAGGTATGTTTTTATGATCTTTTTTTTTTGTTATAGTGGATTCATTTAATAATAATATTAATAATAGCAGGTTCAGCATTTATTAGGCCTTAGGCCTGTTGCAGATTCTTAACATCGCAGAACATTCACAGCTTATTGCAGTCTTGAACTCGCAACTCACTGCTTAAATTCTGCTGTGCTTAACCACCCTGCCTCCTTGCCAATTCTGACAAGAAACTGGCGCACGGAGCTGGGATCAAACCTACGCCTCTCTGCTCCAATCTCGGTACTCTGAACTTTAACCACTGGGCCACCCTGCCCCCACCCTGGGCCACCAACTTGATACAATTAAAAAAAAGTGTGAAATTGCAAGCCATCCTGTAACTGTAAGCTTACCAACACAGAAGAAATGCTACATGGCATTGGCTGCTGATATGAAGCTTGCAGTGGACAAGGGTGGTGTGAATGCACAATGTCAATGGCATGTCCATGGATACAGTCATATAACATCAATAATGTAAGGATATGGTAATATCATATCAATAATGGAGAAACAAGTAAAAAATGCAGCAAATGTCATTTATTCATCACCTACATTGTCTACACATTTTAGATTGACTTGTTGCATGCAGGATATTTTGGTTGGAATCTGGATTGTCAAAGTATTGGGGATTGCAGAAGTTAAAAGTTCTATGAAACAACATGTTTGCGGAGTGCAAACCGCAATTTTTTTCAATCAAACAAAAATACATGACATTAGAGCTGCGAGATTTCATACCTACTGAAATTATATGAAATGAGAGCTGCGATGTTTCAGAAAAAAATATGACTTTTCCAGCCCTGCTTATGGCCACGTGCTCCAAGGTAGGGCTAGAAATGCCTATTTTTTCTGGAATATCACTGCTGTAATATATAAATTGTTTAAATACAGTAGGTGCAAAATCTCGCAGCTCCAATGTCATGTATTTTTGCTTGATTGAAAAAATTGTGGTTTGCACTTTGCAAAAATGTAGTTTCATTAAATTTTAAACTTCTGCAATGATAGGGCAATCCATGGTACTTCAATGTTCCTGCCAAAATATCCTGCAGAACACAATAACAAGTCAACCTAAAATGTTTCCTTGAAGATTGCGTAGCTGCAGTCACATCAGAGCGGTCAGACTGCATTATTACTTGTTCCGTTGCCACTTCTTAAGTGAAGACAAATGTTGGTTTTACTGTTGACTGTTTTTAGGGTAAAATTAAAGATTTGGATTATTTTGGGTTAACACGTGCATGGACTTTGTAAATAAGTTTGTGGCTTGTAAATGGCTTTTCATGGCCAACAGGCCGAGATGTTGAATTTCTGGCTCAAAGAAATGGAATCACGGTTTAAAGAAATGAACTGGCTAGCAAATCCATAAAACCATGGCTTGAAAAATTTAGTTGCAGCTTGCCAAGTAGATATATTCCATGCCTGCTCCAAGCCTCCAAGGGCCCCATATTATAATCATATACCAAAAATATACCATACCTATACCAGCATTACCAGGAATCCAGCTCCAATACTGAAATTGTTGCATCAGCTATCATTGAGTTGAATTAAGAATCTATCGGGTCCAAATATCTATGAATAAGTTTTACTGCCAAGAAGCTATCAAAAGAAAAGCACAAGATAATTCTGCCTGCCAACCACTGCTAGCTCATTTGGTTGTTGAAGCCTGCCAGCCACCAAGCACGCAAGTTTTTTTCCTGTTAAATATCAAGTTCATTTTTGGATATTCTATAATTGATTGCGCATATATACATGAACAGTTATAATATTTATGTTTATGAGTTATATAGTTTTTTTTAATTGTGCAGTTGATACAATCCATGAATATTTCTGTTGAAATAAGTTCATAGGAAATCCATTGATAATCTTTTGGTCAGGAAACCCCATAGCTCTTTTGGAGTGCTTGGGAGTGCTATGAGTCAAGTTGAGTAAATTATCCAGAAAAGCATCACTTACCCAACATTATTGTAGAGTTAACTTGATACATTGAGCTGCCTTGGCAGCATTTTAGTTTATGATTTGAACTTTCCTTGAATGGAATTTCATTATTACATCTGTTCTGAAATGACATATAACAGAAGGATACATCAAGTATGGAAATTGAAATGAAGACACTGATGGATGACCTAAGTGGCCAAAAGAACAGTGATTTCCAGCAACATTGTTACTTACTGTTGTATGTTAATTTCCTGATTATGTACTGTACTTGAACTGTTGAAGAGTTTTATTATTGTTATTTTCTAAGGTTAGCTTGTGACTGAAATTCTCTTTTTTGTCCAAGCTGTTGTGTGAAGATACCTCAGCTCATGTATACTTCTCTGCCCCTTTGGTGTAGTAGTATAATTCAGTTAATTTATTATTGTTTTCAGTTAATTGTGAAAATATTTAAAACAACAGATCTTAAATACAGTGACTGAATGTTATCTCTAGGGGCAATGTTAAGTAAATGATATTGTAATCCAAACTTTTTGATTGATAACTCAGTGCAAACTATTGATATGCAAAATATTGATATTTCAATACAAACTTATTGATTGTTATTTTCAATGCAAACTTATTGACTGATATTTCAATCCAAACTCTATTATATATAACTATCAATATTCTATGATATCTGATAACCTGTTAACTAATTCCTCATGAAAATACTGGAGATAAGACTCGTGAGGTCAATCTCAAGGTCAAACTTCAGTGTTACTGAAACACACAGAGGCAAACTAGGATCCCTTATTTCTGTCTTGCATCAATTGAGCTCTTATTACCGTAACACTGCTCACTTAGCCATTCTGTCGAGTCTACCAAGTTCTTGTCGTCATTATCCCAATGGCAGAGATTACCCTCTTGACACACTTATATCTATTATTAAGAAACCAGTGCTGGAAAACATAACCATAAGAGAACCAATGAGGAAAGAGATGTTTGGTGCCCTTGAAGAAAGACCTAGTGCTGCTGCTTACTGTGTCTCTACCACTGATCGTAGCATGACTTCACACCTCAACAATCCTGAAGGTTGTCTTTTCCAGGTTTGTAATTTTTAGGGAACTTTATTTCTGGCTCAATTTGTTCAAACATTTATTCTTTGTAATGTCAAGTTGTACTGTGAGTTTTAATAATCTTTAACAAAATTCCCATGAATTAAATAAAAATTCTTGTTGAATTATTGAATTTGTAGCCATCTATGGAAAATTGCTAATTAATATGAAAATTCTGCCATAATTCTCTTTAGTGCTACAATTTTGAATTTGTATCAATTTTCAGGGCAAGCGTGATAGATATGGAGGAGTGATTGTTTCATCACAACTTGAGAATAGAGATGATGTCAGTTTTGAACCTTCACTTACTGGTGAGATGTGCTCTTTGTACACTGCCTCATCAGCAGATATGTTAACTGATATTGAAAATTATTTTGCATATTGTTCTTTCTTAATGCTATTTTAAACTTTTTTTTGTATGAACCAGCTTCTCTGGAAGCTTGGACTGCAGAGGGTGTTCGAGGTGTATGGTTTGAGATTCACCTTCTCCACACTCACTGGGTGCCTGTCTTAGCTAAGGTAGGCAAAGTCCTTCATCAGTTTTTATTTATTGATACTTGATGGAAAACTAACAGTGTGAGATGGCATTACTATATTTTATATTGGTTGAGCTGCTTATAATCAGTTGATAACTTTAGAAAAATTCAGTTTGTATGCAATTCCCAATCAAATATTGAGAAATTACCTGGCCAATAATTGTATCTGCTCAGTAATATTTGTTACTATCACTCTCTATGTGCATTCAAATTTTACTGCTGTGTATGATCTTCTGAACTGATGAATCATCTTGAAGTCATATGAAATGAAATATTTTATTTCAATTTAAGGGCAATAATCTGATAATCATTTCTGGCTAGAAATCCATCATATTTTTCCCATTGAAAATATTCATTAATAACTGTTTTGCTGAAAACTAATTGTTAGCCATAGCAAAGACTTTGAGTGGTAATGTAGACTTTATGAACTATTTCAATCTGTAAATATATTTTACATGATCACTTGATTCAGGTTGCAAGTAGGACATGAATTTTTTGCTATCATCTTGTGCCACAACCTGGCAAGCACTTGATCCTGTTGCAACAATGTCCATTGGAAAACTGTAATAATGAATTTTGTCATATTTGAGTTTCGGCTGCATTTTTGCCCCTAGAAATAAGGCCTATGGCAAAAAACAAGGGTAACACTTGGTTTTTGGGAAACTACCTGTATCCTGTGAAACTCCTATAGAGCTGAAACACTCGAGCATGAGAATCATGCTGTAGTTTTGAAGGCATTTTAGATTGATCCTTGATACTGAAAAATCCTGAAAAGCTAGATCCTGAAAAATCTACTGATTCAATGACATTGAATCTACTGACATGAAAACCTGTCAAAATCAAACTTACGTAATGAAGAAAATCATGGAAAAAGTTTGTTGCATATCTAGCGTTAAACAAATAAATCACTTTTTGTTAGTTTCTGTACAGAGTTGAACCTATAAGTTTTAAAGCATTACTTTCAATAACTAATTGTTGCTTTTAAAATTTTATCATAAAACATATAAAATTACTAGGTAAATGAATCTTAAAATATTAACAAGTTTTAAATGTAAAACTTCAGTTGCTGGGTCTAGAAATGTTTTTTTTTTACTAATAAAGACATTGATTTCTTCAGTTCACCCAGGCTCCTTTGCTAGACACATGGCTGACCAATGCTGCTTCGACATTATATTTTGTAGCATGGGTTTGTCTTCCACCACGGCGAGGACAGTGAGGTGGTGATGGTGCGGTGGTTGCCTACAGACGCACCCTCCACGCTACCCAGGTTTGACCATACTTCTCTCCTATCATTCAAGTGTACCACACTGATTGACCAGAAACAAAGGATGAGAATAACTTGAAAAATATTTTTTATGACAAGATTTATCTTCTCTGTGGGACAAGCATGGGAATGTTCATATTATAGTTCATCTCTGGATGACAATATGAAAATAGAATCTATTTGAAAGAAATTTATTATAATTTTAGAAAGCAAGACTTGAGGCATAAAGAAAAAACAGGCAATTTATGGAATTGCATGCTATGGAATCAATTTTATATCCAGTGCCACATGTGAGTTGTATGTAAATGGGCAGCTTGTTATGAATGCCTCATAAATAGTGGAAGTGATTTGTGTTCAACTAATAATATGCTTGTATTATAAGATCTTGTATGTCACACCTCTAGCAAAAATTATCATGAAACTCCCAGCATCAGGATACCATTACCTCGTTCTTATGAATACAGGATTTTTACAAATGATGTCTATCAGTATGCCTCCTTAACCTTATCTCATCTTTTCAATAAAAGTTTTATGTGCATGCTATTGCATTACATAGCAACCAAACAGTTTCCCTGCTTTGTTTGAAAAATTAATACAGTATATATATATATATCACTATTTTGACTTTTTTGCTGTATTGACCATGAAAAATTCAACTATTGCCTTTGGCCACTACAATATTCAGAACCTTAACAATAAGTTGCAGGAAAATATATCCTATAATTTTTTCTTCAATTTTATTCAAGCATCAAAAAGTAGTAGTTTGTTTGTAACTACGGTATATGTCCACTCACTGAATTGTGATGCTCCATTAAATGTGTAGTCTTGTACTTTGAAAGAATTGATACTCATTTGCTATTGTGTATGAATTTATAAATATAATAAATTACAATTATGCTTCTTGTGTCTATTTCTGCTGATTTAAATAGGCCAAAAACACCGCAATTGCCTGCCTGTTTCTTTGCCATTTTTCTAGAGTAAATGTTTTCACTTTTTAGCACATTTTCTCATTTATGGAAAAATGCACTATTGTGCTCGCCATGTCTGTCTGTCAGTCTGTCCGTCTGTCCTTAACCTCAAGTGTTTGTTGACGAAAAAATGCGCTCTCTGTCACTCACTGCAGTGAGTACTGGGTTATATTTTTTCTAACTACACAAGTTGGGGTCATATAAGCACATTAGTCAAGTATCATGGATGCCATTATTATTATTGTTGTTAAAGATATTGAATATAGTCATAGGGCAGCTAAGAGAAGGAGAAAATAATGACCACTAACAAGGTGTCTGTTGATGCAGATATGCACACACGGTGGTGGGGGTCGGGGCCATGGTGGTGAGGGAGGACTCGGGTCAGCTGCTTGTCGTCGAGGATAAGTACTGTCAGCGACCGCACTGGAAGCTCCCTGGTGGCTATGTCGAGCGAGGTCTGTGCTTCACGATATCCTCCTTATTTCAAGAGTGTTTCTGTCATGAGAGCTTTTCAAAAGCTGGTGCCTGGTTATGAGAAGTTTATAATTAGGACTTTACCAAACACTTCTGATATCAGCTGCATAGCTATGATGTAATTTTTGCCCTAATTCCACATGAGATTAGTAAGAATTCATCTCTATTATAACTCGTTTTATTGGTCCATGCTTGAATGAAAATTATAATGTTTGTAATTTTCAGTGCATTTGGACAAATAATATGGCGTTAAGATAAGGTATCAGCTTTGAAGTAGATCAATGCAATGGTTAAGAATAGCTTTGTGTTTCAATCTTACTGTAATTTAGAAATTGAATAGCTTTTATTTCTGGAATTTTAAAACAAATTTCATCTTCTTACTAGTAATCTTATATCATGTTTGTTTAAGGTTATTCTGTTAGAGCCTTAGTAGCTCTGGGCCAGCACATGTACTTGTATTTTTTCTCCACATCCTCCAAAAACGCAATGTCTTCGTTCTATGAACGTCACAAAAAGTAATGAGGGGGGTGTCACTAGAACTTTATTCGAGTTTGTACCTGTTTAGATGAGCAAACTCAAAATATGGTCATAGTTAATTATCCCCATGATACATTTGTACACAATTCAGTTAAACATGGCACGCCAAATAAAATAGCATAGCTTAATGTCATTAAGTATGTGATTCTTAGATATTTGATTCCAGATTTGAATATAGTCTTCCCATGTGAGTTAATTTATCACTCATACCAAATCTATGTCTGGAATTCAGTATTTGAATCCTGTTACATGAATGTACCTCGAACTCGTATTTGGTAGAGCAGGCCCGATGTTGTGGACTGAACTCAAGAGTTGATCACGTAGGGATAAACCATTTCCAATTCTGATCAATTTTTGTCCCATAGAAAGTTCTGGTTCGTAGTGCTTGATGCCTGAACATTTCTTCACCTTATATACTTCAACTAATGCCGGGTCCCTTAAGAGCTACCCTATACCCATGTTCAGAGCGATATACGGTAACTAGTGGTATCAGTTCAGAGTACCAAGATTGTAGCTGGGAGGTGCGGGTTCGATCCAAGCTCTGTGCGCCAGTTTCTGGTCAGAATCGGCGAGGAGGCCGGGCGGTTAGGCAAAGCAAAATAGAGGCAGTGAGTTGCGTGTTTGAGACCGCAATTAGCTGTGAATGTTCTGCGATGTTAAGAATCGGCGTACGGCCTAATAAACTGTGAATATGCAATTATTATTGTTCAGGAGAAGACCTAAGCGAGGCGGCAGCGCGGGAGGTGTTGGAGGAGACGGGCGTGAGGGCGGAGTTGGTGTCGGTGGTGGCGACGCGCCACATGCACAAGGCGGCCTTCGGCTGCTGTGACTTGTACTTCGTGGTGCTCATGCGACCAACCTCCACACACATCACCATGTGCACGCAGGAGCTTAATGACTGCCGCTGGATGAACGTGGGTCACGATGCTGTCATAACTCGTGGTTATTCACAACTCTAACTCATTCTCTACTATAGAATAGAATAGAAGTAACTGCGTTGAAGAAATAGGCCCATGGCCTGTTGCCGATTCTTGAACTTTTCGTGACTTGATTCACAAGGGATCCGGCCTTTGGAACCCGATCTTTCCATAGCTGACGATTGATTGAGATAGCTGCTGGACTTATTGCCTGCTCCGTAATTTGCTAGGCATTTTAAGACTGAACATATGCTCCTGCATAGCTTCGTCTAGTCTGTTTTTTTGAAGATGTTCATACTCGGAGCGTCAACGATGCTATCAGGGAGGCTGTTCCACATGTCGGTGACTCGAAGCGAGGAGAAATGTTGTAGCATGGATGTGTTCCAACGCTGTTTTTTTAGTTTATAGCCGTGGCCCCTGGTGTTGGTTCTTGTTTCAAATTCTAGTAATCCTTCTGGGACCTTGTATAAGTCATGAGTATACTTGTATGCTTCAATGAGGTCCCCACGCAGACGTCGATAACTGAGGCTTGGAAGCTTACTACTGTTACAATCGTCATCTATTGAGCTCTCAGTATTCAAAGATTTGTTAACTGAGATTAACATCAATAGACGGAAGCTTAACGAAGTTAAGACGTTGAAAGTTAATGAAAAGATATCAAACTCAGAATCGCGCTCATTGTTGACTGATATTTTGAAATTATATTTGAATATTTGAGAAGACACCATGTAATTTTCAAGTTTATAATTAAAAATATAAAAAAAAAAGTCAAAAAAGAAATTGACGCTTATAGAGGTGTTTCTTGCAGATATCTGAATACGCTGAGCATCCTTTGGTTCACGAAACGAACAGATTGTTCGTACAGTGCTACCTTCAGAGTAAAGAGTACGGCGCGAGTATCCGTGCTACGCCTCTCGTGCACAGCGTCACCAACCGCCAGCAGATCATTTACTCCATCGACCACGGCAGTCGCAGCGAAGTGGTCATGCAGGAAAGCAAGAAGCAAATGGCAGACGACGGCCGAGAAACTGCGAGATGCGGCCCCATGCAGGCTACTTCGTTGTGTAATGGAGCTAATAGCAGCATAAATGAACTTGAAATTGATGAGACCCAAGATTGATAGAACCATTAGCACAAGACATCGAGTGCATATACCGCTGCGCTTGTTTGAAGTCTGCGAAGAAGCAGTTTTTTGCTCAGTGAAACTCCCTTGCAAAATAACCACTTGCATGAAAATAATGAAACTAATTTGTATGCATGAGCATACAATTGAGGATTAAAATAGCCGTTTGTTGCTTGCTACAAACTCCTACATCGCAAAAGACTGACACTTTGACTCACAAAATCATTGAATTTTCATTGATTCTATGTATTTAATGACACAGTGAAAACATTCCGATCCCAACATGATGGTCAAAGTCTGCTCGATTAACTGAGATTAAAAATTCATTAATTAGTAATGAACTTGTTCTAAAACGATCGTACTTTCAGGTTGTATGAGCTTTTAGGTTCTTTGGTGAACTCGAGAAGCGCTGTACAGTGTTGGTCTTTTGAGATGCATTTGTTGTCTTAATGCTCTGAAATTATCTGTTCACATTTATGAAATTAATATAATTGTTTTAAAGTTTTAAGCGAACTCCGCCCATTTCACGGTTGGTACTTGCTACCAATCAACCTGCAAGCTAACTTGGTACCAATTAATCTGCCAGCTAATGCAGCACCAAGTAACCTGCAAGTTAACCCGATATCAATTGATTTGAAATTAAAACTGTTGAATACGCCTAAATTGGTCGTCCCCGGATTTTTTTTCTCCCCGGCCGATCTATTTAAAGAGCGTTTTATAACCGTGCACCTTTTTGTTTAGAAATTGGAGCTTGGGATGTAGGCTGATCCATCGGCCACGGAGACATTAGTTATACTTGATCGTAAGTCTGTGATCACGTACACGTGTCTCGGGCTACTGACAGCAAGTTGTAGCTACACCGTGCTAGTGGCAGCAAGTTGTAGCTACATGTCATCGTGCTAGTGGCAGCAAGTTGTAACTACACGTCATCGTGCTAGTGGCAGCAAGTTGTAACTACACGTCATCGTGCTAGTGGCAGCAAGTTGTAGCTACACGTCATCGTGCTAGTGGCAGCAAGTTGTAACTACACGTCATCGTGCTAGTGGCAGCAAGTTGTTACTACACGTCATCGTGCTAGTCGCCGCCTAGTTTTCGACCAGATCCACAAACGTCTCTATTTCGGTGCAGCATTTTATGTTCTATCATGAAGAACTTCAATCTAATTTGTGTGGTTTGATTTTTATTGCAGAAATTACATGACGCCGGAGTGCGACTTATTTTTTTGTGACGTAGTGACACTAGAAAATTGCGAGCTCGTTCACTAGAGAACTTGCCCCGCCATGTGAACTAAAGAGAATTGTTCAAAACCTTGGTAACTTCTTAAAACCCTGTCTTAAAATGGATAACTTGACAAGTATAAAATAGTATAAATAATTGTCTGAAATCTTATCTAGTTGGTAGAATTCTCGAAACCTGCAAATGTTCGCCATTTTAGTTATAAGAGCGTAATTTGGGCACAAATTTTGAGTAACTATCTAATATAATTAAAAGAAACGTGTGAAATTATCTTACTTTTTGCACCTAGTACCAAAAATATCAAAGTGAAATCTGAGGGCAAAATTAGCGCGAGAGCAAGTGTGCTACAGTAGCATCAGTTAGTGTGAGTGTATGCTCCAAGTGTTATTGTGAGTGCATGCTCCAAGTGTTAGTGTGAGTGTATGCTCCTAGTGTTATTGTGAGTGTATGCTCCAAGTGTTAGTGTGAGTGTATGCTCCTAGTGTTAGTGTGAGTGTAGTGACATGATAACGGCTCCCTACACTGCCGTCATTTTTAAGAAGTCTTCCATCGTGATCACTCTAACGATAAGTTATAGAAAACGGACGGAAAAATCATTAATATGCTGAAGCTCTTGGTAAAATTTCCACGCATGTCTCGAACGATCGATATTTTAATGTAGCAGCAAATTAAAGTTTTGAGGAAGGTCGGCGTGGAGGTCGCTCGACGAGCCTGAAGTTTGCGGTAGGTACTAGGTAGATCTTTGCTTCGCTTCTGCAGCTCGTCGTGCGGGTCACAATTTCACAGGACTTATTAAATACTGGGTCTAATTTATGTCAGTCAACCAAGCTTAGATATCAAGTCTTCAATTTGCCGTGAAATTCGTTAAAAGTATTGAAGGGTATCTGAAGCGACGGCCATTTAATTATTACCAGAAAATCACAAATGTAGAAGTGTTGAAACGCGGTCACAATTTATGAATCAATAATGACGAAAAAATCAACCAAAAGCGGCGAGAACTATAAAGCCAAACGTGCATTTTTGTGCCTTATAATTGGCAATATTATTGGCCCTTCATGATTATTATCTTAAAAACACGCATAATAATTTAAATCGTTATAGTGGTGAAGCGGAATTAAAGTCCAACTCCAGAAAGGTGATGCAAGCATATTTTGGGATAGAACATACAATTTTATTCATTTCGTGGGAGTGGGCGAAAAATGCAAAGACAAACTTGCACGTATTTTATCAGTGCTATGTCTAGCTGAAAATTTCTTAGCACATAAATGTGACGCATTTATCATCAGTCTTGTTAATCCGTCATCAGCATGCAGCAGTCTCTGTCATCAGCACGCAGCAGTCTCTGTCATCAGCACGCAGCAGTCTCTGTCATCAGCACGCAGCGGTCTCTGTCGTCAGCACGCAGCAGTCTCTGTCATCAGCACGCAGCGGTCTCTGTCATCAGCACGCAGCAGTCATCCAGAGAATCAGAGAAATGGAGAGAAATCATCCATTATTGTGCAGGTTTGTATAATGTATTCAATAGCAATATATTTCAATGCCTCGCAGCTCAAGTGGCTCATTTCTCCATTTACTTAAAAAGCCACGAAGAGTATATCGCTGACAATACTAAACAAAAAACTGAACGAATGCGTAGCTTTGAATAAAACCTCACAATATAACACGAAATGAGAGGAAAAAGAAGAATAATGGCCTCAGGCTCAACATAGTCTTCAGTCATTAATCTGTTAAGTACCTTAACAAAAAGTAAGAGTAGCTACACGTTTCACGTTTTATTGGTCAGCATTAAAATTATATTCCTAGCGTGAGAACTTCTATTGCAAGTGCATGAGCGTAACAAAAGATTTGCAATAAAATAATCATTATTTTGGTTTATTAATCGCGGGAAAAACTGTGTATTCTTGAGAATATGCAAACGCACATTAACTTTATCTTGAAGTTTGTTCAATTCCGCAATAAGCTCAGATTATTACGCGACCGAATAGGGCACAGCCGAGTCAGAGCTACAGCCATAACTGAAGGGAGAGATGTGCAGCCTAGGGTATGTCTTAAAGTGCCTTCTAAAAATTTGTCTGCTAAGAAAACAAACTTAATCTAGAACAAGGAAATTAAAATGTGATAGTCAATTACACTAGAATGCCAGTCCTACATCGTTCCCATAAGCTGGATGTCCAGATCCCGTTATCTAATGCAGATTTCATCCACATCTTTATTTATTAATAACCAGTGCAAAAATTACAATAACAAAAAGATTATCAACGGCAAATTAGTAACTTGTTGAAAATACGGCACACGATAACCACAACTGTTCATGACTGATATAGGGCAGCAATGACCCTACAACTCAACTGAACTATTCTACCGAATTCAGATAATCTCCAAAGTAAAACTTAAATCTAACACGTTCAATTAGCTGAATTTCTCCAGTTGAACTATAAGTCTGCGCTGCTGTTAAGAATACTTCACTGATTGTTACTAAGCAAAGGTTGTATACAGTGTTTTACTGAGCAGATATGCCTCTGGTAAGAGGGGTGCGAGTGAGGAGGCTCTTCCTACGGCTGGAACGCCCGTTGTCAGGCGTGATGAGGTGACCAAAGTCGACGATATTCGTGTTGCTGCTGAACATATTCTCATCGTTGACATTGATGAACGTATCCCAGTAATCGCTGCTGATCTGCAGCAGCTTGTTCATCACCTGCACACATCCAAGATTCATTGAGCTGACAAACAAACCCGATCTTACCGAATGAGGAGTTAATTATCAAATGAAAAAAAAAACAGACTTTTCACAGACAGCAATGAAATTGAAAGTAAAATTAACTTCAACGTGTAAAAGTTTCTGAAGTGTAACCTTTTAGACAACAATAAAATTTTATGAGAAAATTTTTCACGCCGTACGTGCCTACGCACTCAAAACTGTTCAGATGTGTAAGGAACACAAGCCGGGATGAGTTCCAGAACGAAGAGAATTGCCTCGTTTTCCTTACAATTAAATGCAATAAAGATGAGAGTCTGAGAAAAAATTAAAAAGTTGTTCTACACAGCACCGAACGAGCAAAATATTAAGCACCTTGCAATAATTCTAATGATAAAAAAACACGATTTAAGTGGCATTACAAGAAACTAAAAGGTAGAAACTATTGAGAACTTTATGCGTGACAAAAGAAATAAGTTCATCATAGCAACAATAGTGATGGCTAGAGTAATGTAGCTCAAGAGTAATACGCGGATTACTTTACTAATAAGAACACTTGACACACGTTGAAGCTTACATTCTGCTGGTCTGTGGTCTGCTGGAGGAGCATTTGAGGCTCAGGGTCTGACACCGAGTAGCCCACCAGCGTTGGCCCGAACACCTTCGCCAGATTGCCGACTGGCATCATGCACTCCTTAGCTTCACTCACACTGCGAATAAACAGCCAGTTTTAGGCATCAAATAGGGAAAATTACATTTTTTACACGAGTCCAATTTTGATAAATTGCACGCCCCAAAAATGTTACAGTAGCAACATTCAATCAATTCTCTGCTTTTCCACTGATAAGAAATTGGAGGGTTTTCGTTTAAGAAAATAAAATTCTTACAATTTAAACAGGAATGTTTTCAGTTTACACATCAAGTCATCAACAGAATGGAAGCAAACAATAACTTCATTAGAGAAAGTCTTAAGCTATTGTTCAATAGCTAATTGTTTAGTGGTAAATCTCAGTTTTTCACACTCAATACAGAAAAAATGCCAGAGCAAATGTAGCGAAATTTGGAATCCTTAATGGCAAATCTATTATGTATACTGAGAAATTTTCAACATAATGGCATTGTTAGATTCCAGTCCCGCTGTGCCTAATTTTCAATAAACTTTGTCTGCAAACAGAATCATTACTTTATTTAATGACAATTCCTTGCAAGATTCTTACCCAGTCAGTAATAAGAGAGATGTAGCGAGCATAATGGCACTGATACAAACTAGTTTTTTGATATTACCAGTCACGCTGATTTTTCCCAACAATACAAACCGCTGCAAGTGCAGGATCATCCAAGCGAGCGTATCCCTGTTGGGCTGAGGCAGCTCAGAGATGCACTGGTAGAGCGCAGCCTCGCAGTCTGCCTCCTCGCGCTTGTTGGCGCCCGCCACGAACTGGTGCCACAGGCTGTGCGTGATGAGCGGCTCCTTGAGGCAGCGAAGGAAGTCCTTCACGGCGTTGCACATCACGTGCACGTCCATGTTTGTCAGGCACGGGAAGCCTTTACCCCGCAGAAACTTTTCCTGTCATTTCAAACGTCGAGAGAACTCTCAGTTGTTATGTAATGATTGGCTTCATCACGGCCTTGACACACCACAGATTTGTCCGTTCATGTAAGAGTGGAGGGAATTAATGCCCAATCAGTAAGTACCTACATATAATACCTATCCTTAAACCCATGTCTAAATTTCAGTCCAAAACAGTAGCAAGATAGTCTACTTTATACTATCCATGATATAGAAGACACATCAATGAATAATAAATACAATGAACTCGGCAAAAAGTGCAATGTTCGACTGAAAATGCCATTTTGCTCTCTGAAATTACAACAACTAAACGTCATATGCCGAACGAGACGTTCAGTGATCAGTAAAATTTGCAACTGTGTATTACCTTGAGGCTTTTGACGTCTCTCTCGAGCACAGAGACCCTGTAGAGGCCCAGCTCAGTGAAGCCCCTCCGCTCGATCTCCATAGTGCAATGCACCACCAGCGCAGGCACCATCGGCGCCACGGCCGGCGTGTAGTCAGCAATGCTCCCCTGGTCAAATATTGACACAGTGATGGCCGAATTAGGATAATAAAATTGATTAAAACTAAACTATACTTGATTGCTAAAAACTTAATGACTTGATCTTAACGATTGCAGCACAAATTTTAATTAGCGCAATTAAATGGAGTTAAGATGTTTGCCAGGAAAGACGGTATTTACGGGGTTCAACATCAATATTGCCAATTTCAGGCATAGGAACTGGAAGTTAGGGTCACCTCTAGCCTCCAAAGTTACGTGCAATTTTTCCTAAGGCTAAGAGAATGCAACTGTAAATCTAACACAAAAACCTAGAAATGCCAATTTTCTACTTTCACTTAAAAGTCAATCCGCAAGCTGACTGAAAGTAATGACTGAGAAACTTTCACATTAATCAATAAAAGTGAGATCGGTCGTCATAAACCTTTTTTTGATTAAAAGACAAGCTTTATAAAAGTTTCAAGAATGGACAAGTCTTGTCACAACATACAATACGGAGCATGCATATTAATTAGGTACCGAGCACTGCTTGGAGCCTGGCGTCGACGCAGCAGGCACACAGGGCAGGGGTACAGCAGAGCGGCAGTCGAGGTGGCACACCGCGCGGCAGTCGCGGCACTTCAGCACCTGCTTCCCGAACTTGATCCTAGCGAGGCATCAAGCGTTATTAGAACATGAGCAGAAGAATGATCCTGCCGCGGCATCAAGCGTTATTAGAATATGAGCAGAAGAATGATCCTGCCGCGGCAGAAAGCGTTATTAGAATATGAGCAGAAGAATGATCCTGCCGCGGCAGAAAGCATTATTAGAATATGAGCAGAAGAAGAGTGATCCTGCCGCGGCAGAAAGCGTTATTAGCTTTAACTGACACGACCTCCTTGAAACTAAAAGTTATTCAAGATTTTATAGAAGTTTCAAAGAATGGAAAAGTCTTGTCACAAAATACAAAAATAAAATGTTTGCAGATTAATTAGGTACTACCGAGCACTGCTTGGATTTTTATTAGACAAAAAAATTAATATTTATCAACGGTAAGCAAAAATTAACACTGATGAAATCATTATTGGTATGAATGAAGCTAACAGGTCACGATGACCGGAACTTGAATTCTGATCCAACTTCATGGGACTTTCTTCAATCTAACGACCATTTGTAGAGCAAGCAGGGCTGTACTATCAGATTTCTCTCAAGTACACGTAGCTGCCCATTCTTTGTGAATGGTGTGTTTAGTTTGAAATGAAGCAAAGTACTTGGCTGACGGAGTGGCGAACTCTTCAACAACACACAACAGCTTCAAAACTTTACGGACATGTAAAGCTCATTACTCGTTTATATCTGAATTAAAGGGAGACGGACAAGCGAACTAAAAACCATCAGAGTAGCAAGAGAATCTTCCGATTGACTCCTACAGCCCTGGAATTTACATCAGCTACTGCGATTTCATCAGTCTGGAACATGTACATCATCTTGGTATGATGAGAAACACATGTACTGCAGCACACATAGCACAACACACCTCTTGCCACAAGGCTGGCAGTACTCTGACATGTACATCATCTTGGTAGTGAAGCAGTGAGGTCGCTGGACACGTGAGGCGGAGAGATGCGACCGCAGCAGAGGAGAGCCTTGAGGAGGCGTCGAGTATTGGTTGGTGGGAGTCACGGCCTGCACACAACAACTCAATGACAACGCTACATCAGCAGGGAGTAAAGAGCAACTCAACAAATGCAAGGCTTTTACTCTTATTTAACAGCCAAAATACGATCAAATATGAGCTTGAATTGAAAATACCCACAGATATCCAAATGTTAAGTGAGATAAGTTCAATTAATTAAAAAAAATTTGATATGGACTAGGTATACAAGGTTTAATTTAAGTTTAGTAGAGTTCTTGCAATGAGCATATATATAAAATGCGAGAAATTCATCATTCCTCATTGTCAATTCATATAAACAATGTTTTCTTTATTCCATCTGCATGCATTTATTCTATTACATCCACTACCCTAAACTTGTCTGATAAAATGAAGGCATTTAAAGTCGAGGTTATAAAAAGAGCCATGAGGTTAGTTGCTTCTAGTCATATTTGCTCCTTTTTAAAACTCAAACAAGCTCTGACAAAATCATGGAAACATCGTCCATAAACTTTCCTTACATTTGTTAATAATGGCAAGTCAAGCTTGTTGATGAATATTACTATAAACGAGACAAAGACAGTGTACTATTAACTCTATGTGTACGGTAGTCTTAACATAAACACACACCTTTGTTATATTTAACATGGCAATAGTTTCTTGTGTACAATTAGAGACAACTTTCAATAAAATTTTCCATTAAAGATATGTCAAAAGTTTGTTTCTTGGACCAATTAGACAAAAGTAAAAAGAATCAAGAAGGCAAGACTAGAAGAGGACCACAGGCCTGAGGGTTGGCAGGAGGGGGCGGGGCATGTCTCTTCAGAGCAGCCGGGGTGCGTGCCAGGGTCCACTCTTCGGACTGCAGGGGGGGCGCCGACGGGGGGTACACGGGGGGCAGGTCGGGGTACAACCCCCCAGCCCCTTCTTCCTTGTCCTGCCAACCAAAATCAAAATGTTGATCAGCAAACGGAAATTGCCTGCTCTGTTGAACTCACTAACGTAGGTAACTAACTGCAACTATGTTGCAGTTAGTTACCTATTAACTAACTAACAATGTATTAACTATTAACTAACTGCAACAATGTTGCAGTTAGTTACCTACGTAATTCATTAATTCTCACAAGAGCAGGCTATCAAACTTCTGTGGGAAGCACATCATGCCGTAAATCCCAGCCTACATGTGAGGGTAACATGTAGCCTACATCGAGGGTAATCGCAGCCTACATGTGAGGGTAGCATTCACCAACATCCAATTTACTAACTGCTACTAACAACACATACATGTGATAACATTGATCAACTTCCAATTGTAAGGACGATTTATAATACTGGACTTAAAAAAGTACTATTTAAAAGAATTATAAATTAATTAACAAGATTTCCTCAGGGTAATGACGGCTTAGAAACATCAATGAATTTTAAATAAAGTTTGTGTGCTCTGCTAGATAATCTAGAACCCAGATGACCTTGTTTGAAATCAACAAAAGAGAGCAATGCACACTAACACAGGTTTCCTTGGAGCGTTTTTTTCTGCCGTTGTCATCGTCAGTGCTGGGAGCGGCAGCGCGCTTGCGGCCGCTGCTACGGCGCTTCCTGGCCGTCGCCGGTGCGGCGTTAGCGTCCGTGTTGAAGCTGTGGCCCGAGCGGAGACAGAGGGATGACGTGTCTAGGTCGTCCCCTTCAGTCAAGTCAATGTCGGACACGGCGTCTAGAGGGAAATGTTTACAGACTTAACTAAGAAAAAGTTGTAAGTTTGATAATGAATCATCACAATAAAATGTAGAAGGTACTGTAGATGCACATAAGCTGTTAGTATTAGTTAATTATTGCATCACCAACACTCACCTAAAGTATCACCATTCTCATCAATGGTAGACAGCACGCCGGCTGGAGACTCAAGACCAGCTTTGCTATAACGCCCGTCAAGAGCAGACAAGGCCCCCAAGGTGTTGCCTTGCTCCAGCGTCAGCGACAGCTGTGATAGCAACTGTTCATGCGACTCCTCGCCGGCAAATCCAGCGGCGCCGCTCTTGCGGCTTGTTGCCTTGAAGCTTTCCATCATTTGGTGAATCTGTTGAACCTGTGAGGTGCACAGCAGAAAAAAATATGTTTAATTTCAAGGTTTGTTGTAGAGATTAAGTTAACACAAGTTATGTTTTCTAAATGACCAAATGTGAGAAATAGCTCAGATGTCAGATGGTCATATGTTGGAAGGACACGAAAACATTTTGGCAGCCAAATGGTTCATTTCTGACATAGGCGGGACATCATATTTCTAGGTAATAGCTTAACATAAGACTGGCCTAAATCTATTAACTTGTATCTTTTAAGGACTACTGTATTATGCAAAAAATGGCAAAATAAATGTGAACGCATAAACACAGAAGCAGAAAAGACCTATTATTGTTCAACAAATTCTCTTTACATTTACCTAACAACATGGATGCAAATACATGGATGCCCTATGCTCACCTATTTTATTTTAATTAATTTTATTTTCAACCCTCATCAGACTTTCTGTATGAATAAAAATACCTAAAATTTGTACAATTGTTACTTTATAAAATCATGCAGCAAGACAAGGATTATTATCTTCTGAAAAGGATGAAAGCACTAAGTGAATTAACCTGACGCTGAGAAGCAATTCTTTTCTCTCTTTCAAGTCCAAACATATGCTGAGCATTCTTAAGCAGCTTCTCCAGTCTGGTGACTTCAGCCTGGGACTTCATATATTCTTGTTGAAGTCTGGTTAGTTCTGCCTTGTGCTGGGATCTATCTGTGAGCCAAACCTCCAGCTGCTCCACAAACTCCAGGAACTCTGAAATTACACATTCAATGTTGGCAATAGTGTAAAAACTTTTATTACAATTGAAATTAATACAATTTTTGTTTTCAATTGCCTTTGCCGAATAAATTCACTGATAAAAAAAAGATTAATTAATATCCATTTCAAGTTTCTGCATACCAGGTACTATTTGTAATTCAATTCTAATTTGTCATTAAAACAATAATTAAAACAATATTAGGCTCAAATTCAACCTCCAGGAATCTTGGGTGGTTAACCCTTTCACGGGTGTGTTACCATATATGATCACTTGAAATTGCGTCACAAAAAGCCTCACCACGGCTTCCGGTTTGTTTTTGAGGCATCCTTATAATGCCTCAGTCAATCCCTAATTATCTGACCATCGTTCTATCTATAGCATCACCAGCTGCAAAGTCCACAAATTGAAATATGAGCATTTAAATGAAGGTTTTGACTCGGACAATGGAACTGACGCTCTTTCCGCATTTTCTTCAAAATTTGGAAGTATCAATATATATATTTATTTATTTTGGCAACTTGATTAAATTTAACTAAATTAAATTTTTATGTTTCTAATTTTTCATTTGCATAAACTGAATTTTACTTATAAAGAAAAATTTTGTGTACTGATCGCTTTTATTGAATTCTTTAAGCGAGATTTAAACCTTCAATAGGCAAAATTTGCAAAAATTCATATAAATAAATATATTGTATACTACTTCTTACTTTCTTGAAATGGTTTCTGAAATTTTAATTTCTGGATATTTCAAGTCTTGCCCGCTAAAGGGTTAAACAAATCAATTTTTAAGATCTATAAAGGAAGAAAAAACAAAAGAACAGAAAGAAGTTAATTACAGAAGTAAAAGAAATTTCCTAGTTTCCACTTACGCTTCTCTGCACCATCGCTGAGGACCATCAGAGCCCGAATGCAGTCATCCATGCTGGCTTTTAGCCCAATAACAGGTTTGTCTGCTGCCATTTTGCAGAGTGCAGTGGAGGCAGTCAAGTTAAAAATAATTGTGATGATTGATCAGTATCCCATTTAATGAGTAATTTATATCTGAAAAGGTTGTACAAATAGGTAGTTAATAAAAAAAACAAGTCAATGGATAATTAACATAGTAAAATATACCATAAACCTTTTTGAAGCCAATTCAATAATGAATATTGTGCTCACAAAGTGTCATAATTTTGTACAAGAAAAAGTCACAAGTGACGTAAGTTGTAATTTAGAAAAACACTGTAAGACAGAATGGCACTGAATGCAAGTAGGTACCATCAAACAGGATAATAAGGGATGGTTTAGAGCATTTCTTGTTAATGAATTCTTATCATGAAACATTTCATAAACAAGTTTGGGCTCACTTCAAAGCTCTTTGCGATGGCTATTCTATGGCTTCTCTAAAAAAATTTCATATGCTATTAGTAAGGTGCCAAAGGGTTCCTGAATTACACCTGGGAATGGGGTAATCCAGAACACTTGAAATAAAACTCATTTTTAAAACATTTGAAGCATGCAAAGTGTACTCATCCATTATACTGACAGTACTCTCAAGCCCTCTTCCTTTGTAGATGATGTAGTCATGTAGATGTAGGATAAAAGGCATTTTCTGTGATTTTAACTCATTTTTCCTTTATTGATATATTACTATATCCATACATTACTGTATTATTGATGTGATATTACCATATCCATGAACATGCCATTCAACAGTTACAACAACCTTGTCCACTGCAAGCTTCATATCAGCAGCTATATGAAGCCATATAGCAGTTCTTCTGTATCTTTGCACTTACAGGATGCCTGTAATTTCACACCATTTCAAATGGGTCAAGTAAATTTACTATAACAAAAAAAGTTTGTAAAATACATACCTAAAACACAAAGGAATATTTTAGTGACGACCATCACATTTATTGGGATAAAAAAATCATAATTTAGGTTAATTAATTTTTATTCTATGTTGCCTGGTGAACAATTTTATCTATGACATTCTATGCACAGTTTGGTGATGACCGATGATGCACTACTTTTTTGTCAAGTGAAATTTTTTTGCTGAGTGAGATAAATCTAATCAGAAGGCTTTGTTGTTAATTGATTATTTTATTAACTGGAGCATTTGCTTACCAAGGCTCTACTGTAAATGTGTTTTTAGTGGTGTCCCTTATTCCCCCATCATGCAGAAATGGCCACCATTTCTCTCTGAAATGATATATGCCAATTCTGATGATAAAATTGTCAAGCCAACACCTGTGTGCAACTTTGACATAAGTGAAATTTCTTAATATGGTGAATATTTTTTTTGCTACAGACCTTAGCAAAAGTACTTCTCCAAAATCTCACTTTTCACATTATTTCAATGATTTTTTAGAGGCAGTAAATGCATGATTTCTTAACTTGCTATATGCTGCATAGATAGGAAAAATTTAGAACTTCATACCACTAATTTTTGTTTTGCACTATTTTAATTAGTTTAGCTGCATCAACATTTCTACGAAATGTCAGAAAACTGTCCCTTATTACCCCACCCATCCCTTATTACCCCACCCATCCCTTATTAACCCGTTTGATGGTACGCAAGTTCCGTCAATCACGTTTTGAAGCCAACACCTGTGTGCAACTTTTATGTACCGTCAACCGGGGCTACTCGGGACGGTTTTGAGCATTTTTTGTTAATAACTTCTTACGATGAAACATTTCATAAACAAGTTTAGGCTCATTTTATAGCTCTTTGCGAGGGCTATCGAATGGCATCTTCAAAAAAATTCCATATGCTATTCGTAAGGTGCCAGAAGCAAAAAAAGAGTGTCCAGAGTAGCCCCGTCAAATGGGGCTACTCAGGACACTGGGAATGAAACTTCATTTTAAAACACTTGAAGCATGCAGAGCGTACTCATCCATTACTAACAGTACTCTGAAGTCCTCCTCTTTCATTGTAGACAATGTAGAGGTAGAATAAATGACATTTTCTGTGACTTTTACTAGTTTTTCCTTCATTGATATGATATTACCATAAACATTAATTACCATCAACTGGGGTGACTTCCACTGTGTTTTTGATTCATGCTGGGGTAGTAAGTGCGGGGTCGTAAACGTCGGAGTCATAAACGCCGGGGTCATAAACGTCAGGGTTGTAAACCAGGTCATAAATGCCTGAGTGACTTTGGCCACTGTTTATGACTGTTTATTACCCCACTTTGGCCATCATTATGAACAAGGCCGAATCATCCAGTTGACGGTACCGTATTATTGATGGGATATTACTGTATTATTGATGCCATATTACGGTATCCATGAACATGCCATTGAGCATTTACAACAACCTTGTCCACTGCAAGCTTCATATCAGCAGCATCACAGCATTTTTTCTGTATCTGTAAGCTTACAGGACGGCTTGTAATTTGTGAGACGATAAGTGAACTTTTTTTTTGCACAGCAAGGTAAATGTAATCAATATTCTTTGTTTTTAATCAATTTTTTTCTTAACTGGAGCCTTTGCTAACTGAGGTTCTACTGTAAATGTGCTTTCCGGGGTGTCCCGAATAGCCCCTGGGGGGTGTCCCGAGTAGCCCCGCCGTGCGGAAATGGCCGCCATTTTTTTTTTGTAATGAGAAAATCTGTCAATTATGTTTTCAAGCCGACACCTGGGTGCAACTTTTATGTAAGTAAAATTTTTTAATACGGCAAATATTTTTTTTGCTACAGACCTTAGCAGAAGTAACTTTTCAAAATAGCGTTTTTCACCATTTTTTTCTGGAATTTTTCAAAGCTAGTAAATGTCGTATTTTTCGACTTCCTTTATACTACATAGATAGGAAAAATGTTGTTGTTTAGGCCACTATATTTAGTTTAGCAATATTCCAATTAGTTTTGCTACTATGACTGTTTTACGACGTGTCAGAGGTGCGTCCCGAGTTGCCCCGCCAGTCCGGAGTTGCCCAGGTTGACGGTAAGTAAAAGTTTTCTCCTGATGATTTCTTGTTCCATAATCAATGTTGATGAAAGTTCTTGATTTTTATGAGAAGAGCTGCAAACAATAGAGAAGGAATAAATTTTGAATATGACATTACTTGAAGCCTCTAAGTTTGAGATCCATAAACTTGTTTCTTGCTACCATCAGCATGTTACAAATGTAATGCACCCGGCTGAAAGGAATTGGTAAGGAATTGACAGGTACTGCATAATAATTTCTATTGTCTGCATGTTTTGCTCATAGGATGAATAAATGTAGGATAAATAAATAAAATTTTCACTGAATATCTTTGTAATTGATTGATCTTTGCTATCTTTGTGTGCTTAAATTTGATTATCATGCAAAATCTACCCTCATTGTACAAATGGTATCTAAAGTTACAGAAGAGACACAAAGAACATGTTGTACAGTTTAGTTTCAACTTGAAAAGGTGTAAAACCCCAGCATCATCTGTCAGATTTTTCTTCCAAGCTTCAGTACATACAATGGATAGAACCAGAATGTCAGGAATGAGGAACTTGTTATAAATTGGTGGACGCTGCCTTATTCATTTCAGTTTACAACAGTGGCAGCCATCTGAAATGAAAAATCTATAGGTGCTATTGGTCACGGTATTTGTTGAAAAATTATTATTCATTGATAGTAGTTGTTAAACAATATTTATAAAATATTTTGACAGGCTTCCAGTTTACGAAAAAGCTAAAAATTGCTCATTAACTTCACCAAAAGGTGTTGAAATTCTGATGACTACAACCACTCTATGAAATCTAGAGGCAAGGCGGCTTTGTAAAAAAATTCCAAAGTAAAAGGCCTCAATGGAGTGCTTCAATTTATCATAAAAATTGTATCCAACATTTCTATTCTATTTTACAAGTGAAATTCATAACTTGAAATGATAATTTACAAGTAAAACATGAAATCTTAAGTGAATTCTCCATCACAACTCTTTTTTTTAACCAAGTCTTCAGTTAAAAGTTTCTTTTATAACCACAGCCATAAGAAAGAAGAAAAAAATAATATGAAAAGAAATATTTTTCTACTAAAATTAGAATGAAATTAGTAATATAGAATGAATTTTACTCTTTGATATTAAATAATAATATGTATTAATTATTAATTTTATAAAATTTAATAAGGAGTGAAGCAAATTTAAAGTCTAGAATGGCCCACATACAGATTGCAGTGCCAGCAGCAGAAAGTAAATGGGACTACTTTATTGTTTAGTGTGTTTTACTAAGATAATACTTTACTATAAGATAATATTTAATTCTGTTTATGCACAGTCTGGTAAAGTGTTTTAGCAACATATTTTCCATTACTAATTATTCATTTGTTTATTTGTGGCCCACAAAATTGTTTCATCATGTGGCATCACATGCAATGTATCATGTGTGACGTCACCGAAAGCTCCACCTTGTGGCATGTAAACATGGCGTAAATGGCAATGCATTCTCATGTTTCCAATCTCTATTTCCCAATTGTGGTTATTGTGAATATTTTCAAACAGTATATTGTGATATTGGGAATAATAATGATTAAGATATTGTCAACATTCTAACATCAAAGTTCTAATGTCTTGAGATATGTGTTAGAAAAAATGCAAGCCAGTGCTTTAGCTAAGTTGGCTTGAATAGTAAAGCTTAAAATATAAACAAAGTGTGAAGTGTGCTTTAAATCATAACCTACACATTAAGCAAAATATTTTACAGTCCAATTCATTAGTTTTATAATTCACTTTGTGAATCGTGATTGTATTGTTTTGCTTGTGTATCAGTAATTCTGGTCACTGGATGCCGGTATCACTAGGGCAAGGGAGCTTGGCCTGGGTCCAGACCAGGCCCCCTTTGCCAAAACCAATAAGGAGCTACAATCTAAGAATTCCACTATGAGTCCAGTACACACACCATGTTTGGGTACAACCAATCACAGCTGGAAAGGATGACATCACAATCCCACCAACCAATTACAGCTGGAACAGGATCACCAATAGATATGTATATAATGGAATAAAAGTGGAAAGTTCCTGGCCTTTCCGAGCTTTCAGGTCCTGCTTTCCAACATGCTATGCATACCATGGTCAGGAAGAT